ATCCATTTGCTTTCTATTATACTAAATGTTGATATGTTCTTGTTTCCTTTACCATTTTCTCGCATGTGTTTATAACTTCTTGTTTTTAACTACAATTTTAAACTGACTTCAGAATGGGGTAGAAATGATTGTGTGTGTTCAGTCTAATATGTTTGGCTAGAAGTGGCCAGTGGCAATTCTTCACAAACATTCCTGGAGCTCGATGGTTGTCAGTATGGCATACCTTTTCTTTCCACCTATTGTTGATTTTTAGCTCTCTGGAATTCACTCTCGCCCCGTGGGTCCTGGCTTCCCACAGGCCATCAGTGACCCCCTCGTCGCTAAGTCGAGTGATCTATTCTACACTCATTTTTAAATTCTACAGCATCTGGGATTGAGGAGAATTTTCTCCATTTGAAATACCTTCCTCTATTGCTTTCTGAGGCACTGGACTGCCTGGTTTTCCATCTGTGCCTCTGATGACTTTTTGTCATCTCCAGATCCCTCATTCTCTTCTCTGTACTTTTACTCTTTATTGTAACTATTATCTGTAATCAGATGAAACACAGATCTGATTATTGACTCAGCCCCATTCCTACCTTTCCCATTAGATCCTTCTTACATTTCTATAGCAATTCCATGTTGTTGGTTGTATAAATGACTGGCCTTTAGCTAATGGTTACCTTACATCCAAGCACCTGTCTAGGTAAACTGGAAGAATGGTGGCACCATTAGTATAAGCAGGTTAGGAGGAAGAGATGGTTTTAAAGAGAGCGTGGGCTTGGGACCAGTGTAATGAGTTACCTATTCTTATTTTAGCCTCAGAAGTATGGCCAAACCTTGTGGGGGAGGCTACCAAGGAAGTATAATTTGTGAGCAAAAAATATGGCTTAGGTGACTGAAAGTGGAATGAAACTTTAGGGATCTACCTGAATATAAGGGATGATTTATTTTAAGACTGTTAGGGAAATACCTAGACAACTCCTAATGATGACCTTAACTTTTGGGTTTTCAAAGTTTCTAGGTCTCTGAATTCTTGCTGATAGTGACCAGTAAGATGAGAGGTGGGAGTATGTATATTCTACTCTTGGAGGATAAGTTGTTGCTAAACACTGGCCCCCTCAAACCAAATCAAACCAAACCAAAACAAACAATAAGAAAAACCAAAGAAATATTTTGTTTGTTGTTTTGTTTTGTTTTAGTTTAGGGTCAGCTATTACAGTAGCTGATGTCAAGGGCCTGAGGCTATAGCATTCTCTCCCATGGTGGCTTGTGGTGAGGGAAGAGAAGAATGAGCACAGGATGGGGGTTCTGGAAATGAGCTTTGCTGGCTCCCCAGTATTGCCCAACATGGTTCCTTCGGATGGTAGTACTGCTAGGTCTGCAGACTACACTCTACACTTTACAGATGGAAAATTGACACTCGGGGAGCTCAAAACCAGATTTTGTAGTCACACGGTTAGAACTCAGGACCCAGGACTCCATCCATTGCACCAGCTGCTGCCTCCTGGGGCTTTTCCTCATTGCCCACCACCACCATGTGCATTACAAACTGTGAACACAGTCCAGGGGGGAAACCCCTGGGGTCCAGGCCCTGTTAGTGCAGTGGGAGCTGGGGGTGGGGAGGAAGTGGTGATCAGTCCCAGGTTGCTCCTGGGCCAGCATCCACTCCCGTCCCAGCAGCCCCTGGATGAGGCATGGTGGGGGGTTGCCCACGTATCCACAGGCACAATGAAATCAACCTCTGACGGCTAATCGCCTGTCCAAACATTGCTGGTAATCTGCATCCCTAAAATAAACCCTTGAAAGGTGGAAAGATGTTAGTAATTTCTGGCCATATGTGCCTCCTCCTTCCCTACTTTCCCCACCTCAAAAAAGAAAGTGAGCCAAATGGCAAGAAATAAAGAGTCTAATGCAGAACACATTTCCGTCATTTGATTTCCCTTCTCTCCTTGCTGTCCCCCCACTTATGTAAACTAAATTCCTTTACACGGTCATGGCAAAGGACCATTAATTTTTGATTTGAGTTGTGATTAAAAGTAACATAATCAAAAGAGTGAAGTAATTTCCACTAAATCAATATCATTTTAAACCCAGTCATGGTATACTAGGAAAGAACATGGTCTTTGGGGTTAGGTGTGGGTTCTAATCCTGATTCTCTTACAAATGGTGGCCTCATGTTGTCATTATTTAACTTGAGCCCTCCTTGTTGTAGTAAATAATGATGATGATTCTTCACAATAGTTGCTGTTGAGAATTAAATCAGGAGCCATACCTACAGGCAACTATTCTGCGCTCATAGACAAAGCCTGATACATGGTGGGTACTCAAAAAATGATGGCTCAGTTTTCTGCAGAAAAGAGGCGGTCCCCATTGTCAGCTGGGGCACACATTCGCTTCTCTTGGTGATGTAATCGTTCACTCCTATGGTAAAGCTTGGTTCCCAGACTTAGAGTTTGGGAAATAGTTTGGGACTCATCTGAGCATGGGGCCACTTCTTAGAAGATCTGTGAAAGGAGCAGAATTGTTCTGACTGCCCTGCTTCCCTGCAGTACGCTTTGCTGCTTTGCTTTGGGGTTTCTCCCAGTCTCGTTTGCTCTCTTTGGAAGAGGAGAGGCAGAGATAGAGACTTGACTTTGCCTTGGCCTGGCCAGTGAGTCCCTCTCCTGGTCCCTCACTCAACCTTACTGAGAACTTTTCTCATTCAGTGAGCCACAGACTAGAACAGTTGAAGTCTTTTCTCAAGTAAGCCCCATGTACAAGGTTTGTAAGCCAATAAAGGAAGCTAAACCAGTGCGGGCCTGTTTGGGCATGTCTGGGGTGAGGGCATGTCTGGGGTGAGGGCCTTCTATTCTGCACCCCCACTGCTGGTTGCACTATGCTCTGTGCACAGTGGGTGGGAGTCAAGCATAATCAGGAGTGCTGGGAAACGGCTGGTTTGGGCTTGGGGGAGAGTTAAAGAAAGGAACTCAGGGGGAAGCCATGCTCAGCTCACTCCCATGTGTGTCGGGAAGCCTGGACCAGCCTATGAGTCAGCGTTAACCCTCAGCAAGAGCACCTGCTGCTTAGTGCCTGGAACTTCCTGCCACCCTTGGGAGTGAGGCATTTCTTACTGGGCACCAGGCCTAGGGATTAGATGGAGTGAAGTGGGCTGCAAAGTCTGGAGCTCTTTTTGGAAGGAAAAAAAAAAAAAAGCAGTGCGAGCATGTTTAATTTATTGACTTTGACTCATTCATTAAAGATTTGTTCCTAGGATTTTTCCCTCTCCTCATTATTCTTGGGTTAGGCACGAGTGTGTTTTCTAATCAACTAAATGTTAGGTAATAAAGCCTTTACAAATATAGTTTTTCCTTTGCTAGAATAGTCTCTTTCAACCAGGAGGAACTCTTTTACCATTTCCTAAGTAAAATCATTTTGAGATGTGAGTGAAACTGGGAAGAGTCTGAGCAACTCCTTCTTATTTTCTTGGTCCACTTAGTACTCTAAGTCTTGGGTTCATTATAAAGAATTTTGTAACCATAGAGTCAGCATGGACAGCATGGTGATTAAAAGTACACATTTAGACACGGGTCTCAATTTAGGATTAGTGACTTTGGGCAAGTAAACTTAACCCCTATGCCTCGGTTTTCTCATATGTTAGATGAGGGAAATAATTGTACCTTCTTCATGGAATTGTTAGGTTTAATTGAGGAAAAGCATGGAAAATACTCAGCACACTTCCTGGCATGCCGTATGCTTTCATAATTGTTAGCTATTGTTATTGAGTTCAGTTTCAAGCCTTTCCCCATGGAGTGTGGGTGGAAGCTTTGAGATGTTTAAAAGAGGAGGCTTAGTAATTTTGAATTCAGAAGGATTCAGAGGATGGATGAATTATATGGTGACTAGCATCTAGAAAATGACATCTGACTCCTTTAGAAATATCTGGGGCTGGCTGGTCTTAAAGGAGAATTGATTGTAACTGATACTGTGTGTTAATGTGTTTAGAAAGTATAGAATGCCTCCACACTGATTTATCTTCACCAGTAGACTCTGTATAGCCATCATTATAGTATCAGGTCCTCACATTAACATTAAACAATGTTCACTCAGGGTCTACAGAGACAAAGAAAAGAGAAGGCAGAGTTGGTGGACACACTGACTTTCCTGCAGGTAGACGTGCCGAGAACAGAAGAAGCCCGAGCACCGTGTTGGATTTTAGGGGAGATTGTCACCAGGTTTTAACTATCGAGACTTCACCAGGACTTGCTGTAATGTATGAGGAAGTCAAAGTAGAGTTTGGTCTGTGAGGGTCAACTCAGTGCGTAGAACATTTGTGGCACTGGCTAGAGGCTGATTAGTGGTTGACAGAATATTAGCAGGACCTGCTGTCAAAACAGAATATTAGCAGGGCCTGGCATGTTGATGGGGGCTCTGATTTTCCAGTGCTGAAGTTAGACGTCGATGTTTAATGCACTTGAACATGACAATTTGAAGCATCCGGTAACTTTCCCTTGCTTGGCGTGCGCAGATAGTGTCTGTTGGTCTTGCTTACAGGACACAATTTTCAAGGAATTTTAGGATTTTTGGATGTTAAAAAACTAAACCAATAACTTTCTCTTAAAAAACCTCAGGGTAAATTTTTCTTTGAAGGCGGGGGGTCTATAGCATTAGATTATATGAATTATATCGGATTATATGATCCCCTTCTCTTAAGCATTGTGTTATATTCTGACTCACTGCATTTTAAAAAGAAATATGATTTGGTTTTGAAAATGTATTTGAGACTCGTATGGTACCCTGTGGTAACTACTGAGATACTGTTAGGCACCACAAAACGAGGGGGCCAGAATCAGCACAAAAAAGTCATGGAGACCTTGATTCTTATTTATAAAACTGCCTCCTTCTGGTTGTTATTTGCCTTTTATTTTGCCCTCCTTCTCAGCCATAAGTTTGGGTTATCATTTTAGATGGAAAGCTGTGTTCTAAAATGCTTTTTTTCCTTCCTTTTCTTCTTTTCCCTTCCCTGCCCTCGTCATCTTTAGCACTGAGGATGAAAATAAAAGAAGTGAAAAAAGAAAATGGTGACAAAAAGATTGTCCCCAAGAAGAAGAAGCCCTTGAAGTTGGGGCCCATCAAGAAGAAGGAACTGAAGAAGCTCGTCCTATACCTGAAGAACGGGGCCGACTGCCCCTGTCACCAGCTGGACAACCTCAGCCACCATTTTCTCATCATGGGCCGGAAAGTGAAGAGCCAGTATTTGCTGACGGCCATCCACAAGTGGGACAAGAAAAACAAGGAATTCAAAAACTTCATGAAGAAAATGAAAAATCATGAATGTCCTACTTTTCAGTCGGTTTTTAAGTGAATCGTACTGGGCAGGTTGGGGAGGGAGCTGTGGGTTGGGGTGAGGGGTTGGGGCTGAGCAGACAACCCTGGAACTCACTGCTCCTTCTATGGGTAGAGGACCTCGTAATCCAGTTGGCTTTCCCCTTGCAGCATCCCCACTATTCCCCTCCATAGCCACACTCCATACCCCAATGTAGCCAATATTTAAAGCCGCACACCAGGTAAGGAAAACCATTTAGATTAGGACGCCTTTTAAGATCTATAGTGTGGAACAGTGTGTCACTGAGTAAAAGGAGAGGCAAAACCTTTTCAAACAGAGACATAGTCACTAAAAAAGATTTTGCTGGTAAAAAAGAAGGATTAGGCAAAAAGTAAAAGACAGCAGCAAAGACTAAATTCTGCAACTTTCTTTGTGTCATTACAAATTGCTTGTAGGTCAATCAGCTAATCTGTGCCTTCAGAACTAAAAAAATTTAACTATTGGTAAGATGCATTGCTTTCAATTCTAGAGTAATTTCTCTTTCTGTCTGCTTTAGACAGAAACAGACAGACACCATACTTACAACTTAAGATCACTTCCAGAAAGTAATAGGTCCAGGGAGAAAAGCATAAGTTGTTACAATGTGTGATTGTCTTTTGCTATGAGTCACCCAGTCTCACATGCCATGTGAGTGGCAGTTGACATTGGCCTCAGTGCATGACCTAACCTCTGGACATATGGAGGGTGTTGCATGCCCACCTTTGTGTGAGGAAAAGGAAACATCGTGGGTACCAGACCCATGGCATGAGATGATGATTTTCAGACTGAGAAGGCCATGGTTAGTGGTTTTTGAAAACATACTTAAAGAAGAAAAAATAAATTTAGAGTAGTGCAGCAAATTGCTAGTCAGGGTAAAGAGCTTAGTATTCTAATTTCATCTGTTTGTTCATTTCATATTATTTTATAAAACAAAAAGCCCATTTACTTTTCAAGATCTTAAAAAAATGTCTACAGTGAACATTTGAAAGGTGTACTAAGACCAGTGTCTCTTGGTGCATTTGAAGCTACTTTCTAGTAGAGCAGTACTGTCGCTAGGCATTTTGGGTGGGAGGCGGATTGGCCCGGTAGCATAGTCGTATGGGCCTCCTTCCTGAGTTCTGGATTGTTCTGGCTCCAGCAACACTAATCAAAACTCACAGTGCTTCCCATTCTTTTCTTTCCTGTGAAGAAATGGGTTCCTTTAAACTTGATTACTATAGGTCAAAGAAATTCAGAACAGCCAGCCTCCTTGTCCTCCTGCATTTAAAAAATTTTTATTTCTGTAGAGGGAAGGTTAAGCTGCAAGTGTCCCCATCCAGGGAGAGAGTTTCAATGACAACACATCTGTACAGTTTTCCCTGAGTGCCCTAAGATACTTCTCAAAGCTCTTGTGTTTCATAAGTGGTGTATATAACCCTGTTCACTTAAGCAACTTTATCCTTCTTGTTTGGTGTATAGGAAGTAATTCTGAATGATCAATGTTAATTTCTTCCCCAAGCCTGATTCTTAATTCTCTGTAACACCTATAGGACTTTAGTGAGTGTACCTCTGGGAGAATGGTTTTACCCAGTCTGGATGCTGCAGTGTGGCCCTGTCCTGACACAGAAGGAGTGGAAGATTCTGTTAACTTTTCAAGACTCCAGTTTGAAAAAACAGCCTGCCAACTTCATTACCTACTTGAGGGTTATACTGATGTAATTAACCTCCCACAATTAGTGATCCCATCATTTTAACTTTTTTTTGGTTCTCTCTGACCTTTAATCATAAAGTGTTGGGGAACTTAAGTGATTTGTCTGTAATTTTGGATGTTTTTTTTTTTAAATGTGTATATATATTAGTTAATTAGAAATATTCTACTTTCCTATTGTCAACTGAAATTCAGAGCAATTTCATGAGTGCATGGATCTGAGTCTTAGTTTTGGTTGATTAACTCAAGAGTTCAGTGATCGTGTGTATCTGATGTATCTGCTTGTTTTGACAGAGCGCATCATGCAACAGGGTTGTGTGTCCATGGCAGGGGCCTTGGGAGAGGGGTTTATGTGCGGTATTAGCAGTTACTGCAGACAGATTATGAAAGAATTGGTGGCCATGCTGTGCAGCTCTCTAAATGGGAATTCTCAGGTAGAAGGTGACAGTTTCAGAAAAAGTTCAAAATAAATTGGAAATGTGAATTGCAGCTACAGGTTTTATCCCGAGCACAGAGTTCTAAGGCTTTGAGTTTTACTGTGGATTTGAGACATCTTTGTCTACAACACATGGGCGATTTCAGGGACCAAAGCTGCATTTTTATTACAAACCTTTGTTTTTCTCAACAAAGGATACAACAAAACCAATGTGCAGACTCATTGGCTTGGTCATTGGTTTCCAAAAGAGGAGGTCTGTGTGTGATTTGGTAATTATTGCTAGTGTAAAAGTCATATATGCAAAGATTTAAAATAATCATTCTGGGTAGAATCCTGTGAGGTCATTGGCAGAACTCAGCTCAATCTTTGAAAAATATTAGTGGTTATCTAATAGAAAAAGGGAGGTGAAAATTCCAAGAACATTTAACTTTTAGAATATCCTGTATAACACTTGGCTCTTGGTGCCACTGAATTAGCACCAAGGTCTCTCTAAGGTAGAATCCAATCAGAGCTCCAGTTTTCATTTGCATCTGTAAATTACAGAAATACCTTCGCCCAAGCCCAGAATATGTGTTTTTCATCAGTCTTCTGGTAACTAATTTCTCTGCTGTCACTCTGTTAAGTATGGTGGGCTCAGATGATCTGTTTTAGAAGCACACTTTAGGTAACTCCCATGGAATAATGTACTGGCCATTCTGATCTGTCACCAGCAGATACATAGGACACAGACAAAATTCCTGTTTCCTCTAGTTCCTTCATGTAGCACTCCTTTTAGAGTCTAAATCTTTTACAAAAGCTTTGAATACTGTGAAAATGTTTTACATTCCATTTCATTTGTGTTGTTTTTTTTAACTGCATTTTACCAGATGTTTTGATGTTATCACTTATGTTAATAATTCCTGTATGTGTTCATTTTATTTTCATGCTTCTCCTGCCATGTATCAATATTCACTTGACTAAAATCACTCAATTAATCAATGATAATGCGAGTTGTGACTTTCCCCCCTCCACCCCAATGGTACACCATTCACCTTGTCCCACTGTACACATACCCGTCTCGTGATTTTTTCCAGTGATGTATTCTGGTCTCAGTTTAATAGCTTTCAAAGGGTAACTGGGCATGGGTGGGCTAGAGAAGCACCTGGAGGCACTGCAGGCTACCTTCACCCCCATCCCACGTTTACCATCTGCTCTCACAAATAACTTCCAGGAGTGTTTCTCCTGGCCGTATGTGTTTCAGATCAGAGAGAAGGTTAAATACTTGCTCTACAAGAATGTATTTTTCAACCCTGCCTGGCTGAGTTTCTTTTCCTGGTTTCAGATGCTGTTTCCCCTCTGGCCAATTCAATGTTAAAATTACCAACTAAAATTTGAAAACTTTCTGGTATCTGGAGTCTTAGACCCACATGAGACCTTAGAAAAGAGTAGGCCTGCCCCTTTACTTTACAGAAGAAGTTAAGATGTGAGACGGCTAGGAGTTCCCAGAGTTTGGGTCTCCCAGGTCAATGGCATTGCTGGAACTAGAATCCAAGGCTCCCAAGTCCTAGTCATGTGGGAACAATGTCTGACTTACCACTGAACTTCCCTTTGGACCCAGAGTGTGGCTCTTGCCAAGCCCAGGCTGTTTCCTATTAGGTTATGTGCTTCTTGCCTAAGGAATTATTCAGTGTGACTTTTAATTCTGTAAGCAATTACAATGACAACTTCAGTTGATGTCATTCCCTGATTAACAAGGCACTTCCAAACCTCAGACAACTGGCAATTTTACCTAGAAGTGAGCAAATACTCCCAAGTCACACAAAACCACACCTAAGCACAGAGACACCATTTTTCAGGCATGGTATGAGGACTTGTAAAAATTCCATTAAAGTTGTGCTCCAGTGTGGAAAGATTTTCCCATATTAGTGTACCTGACTGGTGAACCAGTGGTATGCTAACCCAGCCAAGGAAAATATTGGCATTTCCTTTTAGTTCCCTTGAGGTTAATAAGAAGAAAAATCTATTTTAGGCTGGGTGTAGATGTCATTGTCACCACCACTGAAGCCCCACCACCATAACCTATATTTTCCCATTGCTGTTGGGAATTTTCTTTTAACCAATCAGCAAAAGGTTGATGAGGTATGTACAAAGGCATTTGGGCTTCAGCTGTCGGAGTTGCCCTGGAGTTTGAAGTGTCTAAGGGTTAGTACGACTTGAATGTCGCCTAAGAGAGGCCGGCAGCACCAAAAAATGGCAGCTTTGCCTTCAAGCGCTATAACATCCACACCTCTTCCAAGAATTACATAGGTGGTTTTCTACCCAGGGGCAGAAAGGGACGAAGGGTCACTGTATTATCCAAGTTAGGTTGGTCTTACTTCTATTCCTGAGAAAGAGAAATCTTCCAATAGTGATCAAAGGAAATAGTGAGAATCATTCTTAAATCTTAGTATGTATCACCAAGGCGAACTTGCTAATGTGCATTTTCTGGCTTTCATTCCTATAAATTCATATTCGGAAGGTTTGCCATGGGGCCCTAGAATTTGAACTTAGAACTAGCATTCTAGGTTTCCCAGATGCCAGCAATCCACTAGATCTTACTTTGCGAAACGTTCTAGTAGGACATAGGTGGCTTGGGAATGAGGCAGGATATTATTCTGGTATCTCCCTTTTCCCCATCCACATACTTCATATTGCTGCAGCCATTTCTGAAGTTCTGTGAGCTATTCTTGCTAGGTATTAGTTAATAGAGGTCAGTTAGATACCCAAGGAAGGACTGAGCCTCTTTTCTTTATAGCTGGGTATATGTGGCTCTCCCAGAAGTGCTTCTCAAACCTGGAGACCTGGTTAAAATGCAGAATTCCACCCAGTAGGTCTGAGGTGGGGCTGCAGTTCTGCATTTAGGGCAGGCTCCCAGGAGAAGGGAGAACACTGAGTAGTGGGCTGTAAAGGG